TAAGGTCTCTCTTTTCTTTAGAGTTTTTCATTTGTTTCTAATGGCTGCTTTGCTGGTATGGTCAGGCGCGAATGAAAAAAGAAAGCTTCATTACCCTGTTTTATAAGATTCAAGATAGCCAAGTTTTCAGAAACTCTTCCAGCAATTCTCAAGCCAAAGTCGAAGTGCAACTCTTGATTGCACTAGCAAACATGGGTCTTTCCGGAAATGGCGGACAGGTTTCACTAATCGGCCGTTTATTAGGGGTTTCAGGTGGGTCATTGTTTATGATTATTGTATTTCTGTTTCGGTAACTGACTTTTGAACGTTTTCAGATGGGAGTGTAGAAAACTACACATGGCGATGTGTAGCGGCGATCCTGGAGTTGCAGCCTCATTATCTAAGCTGGCCATCCCCTGAGGAACGCGCAGTCATCAGGCACGAGATCTCTGAGGACCACCCGGCTGTGAAGGGATGCGTAGGATTTGTCGACGGAACACTCATACCCTTAGCTTTTGGTCCAGTCATCTGCAAAGAAGATTACTGGACCCGAAAGTATTTCTACGGTCTCAACTCGATGATTGTGTGTGATCATCGACGGCGGATCACTTTTGCTCGCCACGGGTGGTGTGGGAGTGTTCATGACCAGCGTGTGCTCCGAACTTCAACAGTAAGTTTTTTTTTGGGTTCGCCAAAGACATTGAAGTGACTGATGATGTTGTTAGCTTTGGTGTCAACCTGCACGCTACTTCTCCGAGGGAGAGTATTTAGTGGCGGATTCTGGGTACAGTGCCTCCAGGTGCACTGTCCCCCTCTTCAAGAGGAACACGGACTGCGATCTTCCAGGCCTCAAAAATTCATTTAATAAAGAACTTAGTGAGGCACGCACGGTCATTGAGCATGTGAATGGAATGCTCAAATCGCGCTTTCAGATGATGAAAGAATTGTGATTGATTTTACGAGACAAAAGATCAATGAAGCGGGCAAACGCTCTTTTGATGGCGTGTTGCCTGCTTCACAATTTCCTTTTGGCGGAAAATGAAGGAACGGCCTTTACTTACGGTCTTCCCAACGCAGCCGAACGTGAAGCCGAGCGACAACATTGGGAAGATCAACCTGCGGTACTTAACGAAGTCCTTGCCGATAATGATGACACTTTACGCAGACAAGTATTTGCTGAATATTGTTGTCAAATGGGGGCTGATGTCTGATAGGTGTAAGTTTGGAATCATAACATTCATGTAATCGGTTTTGATAGTCAAATTGATCCTTTCAATCTCATTCAACTTCATTATTTCCAGGTGTTGGAAAGTTGCTCAAAAAATTTCTAACTGGTATTCTTCGATCTCACTTGATTTAATAACACAAATTAAATAAAAAATTGAATACGAACTCGTTCTTCTTGTTTGTTGAAGTTTCTGTCAATAAGTAAAGTTAAATTAAAAAATTGGTTGTATACGATCTCGTTCCTGATGTTTGAAGAACTTTCTTCAAAAAAGCAAAATTGTGTTCTTCTTGTTTGTTGAAGTTTCTTTGATTAAGTAAAGTTAAATTGAAAAATTGGTTTTATACGATCTCGTTCCTCTTCTTTGAAGATCTCTCTTCAAAAAAGCGAAATTAAAAATGGCAGGAGTTTTTGTTTGTTTAATCAAGCCTGGTGGCGTATCTCCAAAGAATGAATATCAATGTATTCCATTTGAGACATCACTAATTCAACTGAAACAATAATTGAGAGATCACTAAATCCAGTGAAACGATAAGTCAGAGAGCAGCATATAAGCTTATGTATTTGAAGGAGGTTACAAAAACAACGAGATAACTAAATAACTAAAACAACTAAATCAAAGAGATTAAAAAATCCACAGGAACAATTGGTGTTCCTAAACAACCGGTGGAATCGAGAGTTCCACAAAGAGTCACATAAACTAAAGTTCATAAGGGTGTAGCGAAAAGATGTTAGGTCTACATTCATCAAAAGGTGGAGTTGTGTTACCAGGTCTACATTGATCAAAAGGTGGAGTTGTGTTACCTACGTCTCAATCTTCAGCAAGCATTTTATCCACAGTCTCTTTTGCTTCGGTCAAGGTCAGACCAAAGTTATCCATGTATTCTTTATATAGACGTCCTCTCAAAGAAATATCTTCAATCTTTGATTTCTTCTTATGACTTTCCAGCTCTTTCTCGATTTTATCTAATTCAAGGTGCTCTCTACGCCGCTTCAGTTCTTTTGTTTCATCCATATTTCTTTCTTTGAAATCCAACTCGGCTTGATTGAAAACCAAAGTCTCCCTCTTGAGTTGGAGTTCTTGTAATGACTGAGTGTGCTGATCGATTCCAGGGTTCAAACTCTTAGTGATCGCTTTGGAAAGTTTGTTGTTAGAAATGACTTCGGATCGTCTAGCAGATTGCTCCGCTAACATGTGTTGTTTCTTGAATTCCCACTCAGAATCACGTTCTTCGCGTGATGGTAAGTGGTTTGTTAAAACTGATGAAGCGGGACCTGAGTTGACTCAAGACGATTTGCTTCTCCCAGCGTTTGTAGAATCCACTGATGTAACGTAAGAGCTTTTTCGAGGTGAAGCATGACGAGGTTTTGAGAACTTAGGCCAAGAGGTGCTTTGAACCTCCAAAGTCGTTGTTTGATTGAGGCTGATATCATTCAATTTTTCATGTTCATCAAGGTTATGTTTGTCTTGATCATCATCTAACTCTTCCAAATGAGGACTGTCGATTCCAGCGAAGATTCGATCCAAGGAACTTTCATCTTCAAAAGGATCATCATTGTTTTCAATTTGATTAGCTCGGCTGGCCTCAAGTTGATTGTCCTCGGGTACCACTCGGAAATCAGCATTTTTTTGAGATGGTAAGATTGCATCGACATCAATCACATCGTTAGATTCCTGAACCGCGTCTGGCGAGTTTGCCTTTCGCCTTCCTAAGGCTGGGAGCATTTCTTCATAGTACAGACATTTTTTTTTGAGTAATGCTTTGGAGAATTGAAAAAGTAGATGGATCATATATAAATCAGTGGTCTATCTAAAAGAACATATACATAAGTAACATACACACCTTCGAACGAATCTTCCACCAAAGATAGTCGCTCCTTCCAAGCCTCACTATCGGATGTGTACCCATTGGCCTCCTTCTCAGCAATAGCATCTTCCATCAGCTTTTGTTTAACACCTTCCCCACTTGCTTTGCGGAAGTCTCGCCCATTTCGGTAACTCTTCTTGAGTTCTCGTATCTAATGCCAAAAGAAAATCACATGTGTTTAACATATGTATACATAAGTGTTGAAGATCGAAAGGACATACCTGGAATTCAACAGCTGAAGGTTTTATGTTGGGAAAACCGTTTTCGGTGAGGTACTTCGCAACCTCCTCAGCTACATCAGACTTCTTGATAGTTCCACCTTCACCTCTCCACCAGTCTATCCGATGACCATCACCTTCAGCTGTTATCAACCATTCGACTACGATCCACAGGGGAGTCTTGCCGTCCCTGTTTTTGTCGGTACGCCAACCAGTTCGAGCACGGACAGGGGAAGACGGCTGGTTGTTGGACTTGGGAGCGTTTTGTTTGCGAGAGCGCTTGGCGCGTTTCGGAATCGGATCAGTTTGAGTCAACACTTGACTCGCAGGAAGGCTTTCTTGAGTTTGAATGACAGGTTGGTAGGGTGACTGAGGCATGGTGCCCCAAATTTGCGGGTTGATGCTTGACGAGAGATGGTGTTGGTGGATAAGTGGTGTATTTGGGTTGATGGTTGGCGATACGAAGGTATAAGGGTAATGATGAATTGGTGGAGGTTGTCCAACAAAAGACGAGGCCGATGGAGTACGAGAAAGAGGGGAATTGGAGGAGGGTATATCAGCCATGTGATATTAATTGAGCGGGTGTTAGAAGGGCAGATCATGCATGTGGAGAAATAAATACATGTGTGAATATCTCCAAAAATAATATTTGGCCTGAGAAAGATCGTGGAGCCAAGAAACATCTTTGAGGTGTCCGAGAAGTTTCTAGATGTCACTTCTTGGCACTTCTTGGACCGGTTTCTCGAGTTTTGAATACCATTAATACGAGCTAACATCCGTAGACTCCCCACTGACGCTAAAATTAGACTTTATTGGACTCCAGGTCACACAGGTATAGAACTTAACAAAAAAGCAGATGAATTAGCGAAAGGCGCAGCGGAACACAATAACAATCCCCACAAGTTTAGGAAGTTTGAAGAAGAGAACCAACAAAAACTTTAACATCAAAGATATATTATTTAAGCCAGGCAAAAACCTGTTGACTGTTTAACTTGTGTATACATACATCAAAAAGATACAATTGTGCATACAAGACTATGGTGTCTTCTCTTTCTAGAAACCAATAAATTTTCTTTTGTGCCAGCGCAAAATGCAAACACAGTGTGCTATTGCATAGATTTATTCATTGTTGATGAAAACCTGCCATGATGCATAGAAATATGCATTATGACAGTATAATATGTGCTGGCAAAGGAGGGCCTAGCAGTGTTTAAGATTGCAACATTTTTTGTCATTGCAGGCAATAATAGATCTGGTGCGCAATCTCAAGCTAGACAATAGAAACAAATAAAGAAAAGAAAACATCAAAAAAACTGAAAACACACAAAACCAAAAGTAGGACTGACCATATGATCAAGTTGTACATATCAAGTGTAGTGTGACAATATGTGGCTTGATCATATGTCACACAAAACTTATTGTGACATCATTTTAGATTATTGCCCTGAAGGTCTTGATCTTGATTTTTTCAACTTGATAGAAAAGTCATTTGGAAATTGAAGGAATGAAAAGCTGATTTAATCTAATCAAAAATAGAACAAAAGAAATGAAAACTAAACTTTTCTTGGAATACCAGTGTACATATGTGCTTTGTACAGTTCATACCAAATCCATTTTTTCCACACTGAAATCACATTCTATGAAGTGATTTCAAATTTTTGTTTTTCACTTTCCAATTTTGAATCTTTATACATCTCATACACTCAAGTTGTCAGAAAAAAATTTGTTAAATCTTTTACTTTTTGTTCTGTTCTAGACAAACCAAACCAAAACCAAAACCAAATCAATTAAAAAAACAACTAGTAAGAAAAACCCCATTTTACAAAAAAAAAAAAAAATTTGCAGTTTAAACCTTTGCTGATTTCTTCAAAAATAATAATAAAAACAAACCTTTGATGCATTTTTAACTTGAGAGATAAAGAAAAGAATAATGATCATAAAAATTATCAAAGCTCAATACATAATTGTATATATAATAAAAAATGAATAAATTTAAACATTGAATCCCCCAAAAAAAATCTTTCTCTTTTTGTCCCAAATACTTATCTTTAAAAGAAAAAAACAACACCATACCCATCATGTTCACTTGCATATCCATCATCATCCCAATGAAAAAAAAGAATTAAGCCAAAATAAGATCACCTCCCCCCGCCCCCCAGTAAAGAAACTCTCTTCTTTTGTTAAGTAAAAATCAAATCAATCAATTCAATTCAATTCAATTCAATTTTCTCTTCAAGACCAATCCGAATCAAAAGGTTGAACCAAAGTAGCTCCATTCGGCAAAGGTAACCCAACCCCATCAACCTTTTGAGTTTCATTACCACCAATCTCACCCAAGAACCCTTTCCGTTTACGTCTTAACCATTTCCTACCCTTCTTAATCAACCTTTCTTCTTTTAAGATCCCATTCTCTCCTGATTCTGATTCGGCTGCTTGTCTTTCAATACATTTAGCCAACTTTTTTAACTTTTCTGTATTTAATCCTAGCTTCGAACTGGTTAAGAAGGATGTCGTAGATGATGAACACATCGTCATTCGGGCTACTGTATGGATCTCGTGTAATGATGATGCTAGGGTTGATAAACTGATCGGTAACTCAAGAAACGGTTTAGGTAACTCGATCAAGTCTTTAGTCATCCGTAATCTTTTGGTTGGATTAAGTTCATTGGGTGTTGTAGTAGAAGAAGTAGAAGATTGAATTGAGATTGATGATTTCGATTTATGATGATTCATTAAAGATAATCTAGAAGAAGATTTCCTATTCGATTTCAATTCGTTGGGTCGATTGTCTTCGTTAGATTGAAGTTTTGAATACCTCGGTACGATCAAAACTCCTGCAATGAATTCTAAGATTAATCTAATACTTGGTGTTGGATTCGGATTCGTTGAAGTAGATTCAGTTTGAATGAATTCTACACAAAGTGCTAATTGAAGTTTAGTTCGATTTTCATCTGCATCTGCTACATCTAATGGTCCAGCTTCGATACGTGAATTACCATGCCTATAAGAAACCGATTTCAAATATCAAGATTCGAAAAAAAGAAAACCAACTTGAGTAAAACAGAAAGCTAAAGAGAATAAATAAATAAATCAATTGAATTAGAAGAAAAAAGGAAATTCAAGACAAACCACATGAAATAAGTTAAAAGTTGATTCCAATTCCAAGCTTCAATGACAAAAAACCCTGGATCTTTAAGTGGTGATCCGTCCAGTCCAAATCTAGTTAAACTAATCACATCTGGAAATTGACCTGAATCAAGTTGATCATATAATCCACCAATCCTTCCATACTTGATTCCATCTGAAAGTGATCCAGACGGTTTTGGATTACAAACAAACGTTCTTGAAGAATTATCTGAAAAAGATGTGGATGATGAAGGTGATTGGATTGGAGTTTCATCCCGATGTCCAAATATATCACATTCCTCATTTTCTGAAACGATGAAAGACGCAGAGTAATTACTTGCTCTTCTAGCACGTATCAATGCTTCTTTAATGGCTTCATCCTCTTCTTCTTCTTCTTGACGAGACTGGGTGGCAGAAGATGACCTAGAATTTGTTGGATGATGTTCCTGATCATTTCGAAAGTCAGGAAACGAAACAAATTGATCTGATCTTGTCCGAATCAAAAGAGCTGGTCTCTCCATTAAACTCGTTTGCAAATCCTCATGTTCTATCGGAGAAGCAGCATAACAATCTTCAAATGGATTGAGGATTTCTCCGATAGGAGTAGCTGGTAGATTAGATATCAAGTCTGAAGTAGAGTATGGAAGAGAAACTCTTGTCATAGAGGGCGATTGACTTCTAGGGTCTGGTGTAGAGAGACCAAGTGAATGTGAATCATTGGAAGTGGTGCGTTGATTACTAGGATCGAGAGGATAAGGTTGTGCTTGAGAGTTGGGTCGAGATGGTGGTTTTGGTAATGGTCTAGAATGCCGCCTGATGGTATGATTCGATTGAAGTTCACATCTCGTGCCAGTAGGTGTAAGAGCATGATCCCTACTAAGCGACTGTGGTGGTGAATGATTGGGGGTGCAACCAGAAGGATCTGGAAAGTGAATTGAAGATTGAGGATCTGTTTGAGATGCGATTGATGGTCCAATATCATCATATGGAGGTGGACATTCTTGAGGTGATATTGAATGACGAGTGTTCTGTGGAGCTATGAAAGACGAAGATGACTGATAAGAAGATAAATTAGATTGAAAAGTTTCAGTAGATCGACGTTGAATGGCATGATTAAAGGTATCCGATTCGTCCACGCCAGTAAGAGCTGTTGTGAAAGAAGACCGAGACGTCGAATGTTCCAAGGTGGAAGCAGATTGAGTTGACCTAAGAGGTGCAGGATGTGAAGTTTGAAGATGATGAAGATTATTAAGTCGTTTAGATGATGAGTTTTCGAATACATTTCCTTGAGAAGTACTTGATTCATTCAAACTGATAGCCAGTGCAAGTTCTAATTGATATTGATCATCATCATCATCGTCAATCGGATTTCGCTGTTGAGGTGATTGTAATTGACTTTCTCTTAAAACCCTTTCTAAAATCTTTCGTTCTGATTCTTCAATACTAGCCAATCTAACTTTTTCTATTTCTTTTCTATCAAGTTCAGCCACTTCTGATTCATTTCTTACTTTTTCCATCATTAATCTTTCACGTCTTTCTAATTCGATTAAATGTTGTTGATGATCTTCTTGTGAAGCCAAAAGAGCCAATCTAAGATCTCTTTCTTCTCTTGTTTCATCTTTTGATCTAGAATGAGGTGTTGTTGATGAGTTTGGTCTGTATTGAGATTGGTAAGTGAATTGAGGTTGAGGTTGAGGTTGAGATGGTTGTTGATGGTTATAAGAAGTGGTTCGATATGAGTTGGGTCTCATTGTGATTTGATTGAGAATGATGGTGATGGTGATGGTGATGGTGATGGTGATGGTAATGAGATGGTGATGGTAATGAGTTGTGATTTAAGACTTGTTGAAAGTGTTGTGGCTGTGAAATCAAATCTCTCACCCAATTCATTCATCGCCACCGGTAGTCTTGACTCCTCACGAAATGCCATGAAATTGAGTTTTCCCGCAAAACTCGAGCAATTTGGCTTCGAATTTGAAAAAACAATCTGACCATCAAATCAAGATTAAAGAGATATATCCAACAAATCATGGGTTGACTCATCATATGTGAGCAATCTTCCTGAGAAAGACGCACCTCACGCGTCCAGTGACATACCAGAGGGAAGGAAACGCGCGAATATGTACACAGTCCTACAGTCTGAGAGACACACTTTTCTCCAATAGCTACGGTCTAGAAAAGAATGGATGCGAGCACATATGCACACACGTAATTTGTGGTACACATCTAGTGCCATGGATTTGACTCTGAGCCTGATTGAGCACGCCTATGGAAGTCACAAGTTGTGCTGTGATCGTCAATTCAAGTTTTCATCTGTGTACGAGGCCCCTTGTTGTTTGGCAAGAACTTTCCGCTGCTCACGTTTCTCACCAAGAGTGTATGTACCCTTGCAAGAGATTCACCGTATAAATTAACCAGTGACTATCTTTGTATCTGAATCTTGACGGATCTGCAGTTTGGACTTGATCGAGAACAATATCATAAACCAAGATGACCATCGAGTTTACGGTGTTGTGTCAAAGGAATGATAAATACTATTCCTGCGGTACGGCCATCTCTCACTGTGTAGCCAGGAAAAGTCTCGACTCTCGAATCTGAGAGTCGAGATCATTTCTGGAAATCAGATTGCCGTCTTCTATACTCATGCGTCTTTGCATCTGTTCTCATATATCGGCAAATGTCGGTGCTGTGGGTCTGTACGTGTACATACTTTTTGCTATATACTTTTTTTGGCGGGGAAGGCGAGGCCCAGATCTCAATATCCTTCAAGCTTCGCGATACGAGCCCACATGTATGATGATGGATATGTGTCCATGTATCCAGCGTACCCTTAAAAGTATAAAGGAATCCAAAGATATTACATACTATGAAGTCAAATTTCAAGCTTAATGATCGACACCTCTTCAAAGATCTTGTCATCGAAATCTCGAAATCGAAAATAAAGATTAATGGAATCTTCTAAGGGATCTTTGTGCATACTCACTATCAACTTCATGGATTAGCGGAATTCAAGTAACTGAAATGCAACTGTCCACACATCAAGATGCTGCTTAAAAAATTAAAGTTTGAAAATACTATTGGAGAGCCCCACCTGAGAAGCAGATTCCTAGCAATTTTATTTTGCAAAAAAAAAAAATTCTTGGAGGGCTAGAAGACAAAAGCGCATCAAAGCTTAGGCACTTTTTAGCCCACTTGAACCCCATGAATGTGTGATTGTGATTGAGATTATAAAATAAGTTGATAATCTCATAAACAACTTCAATTCCATCTCTTCGGACATCTCATTCTTGGATTCGATCATGTCAAATTCAATACTTCTGAAACTCATCGACTTTGTTACACACTTGGATCGAAACGGAAATCCGTATAAAGAAACAGCTCTATTCATCACCAATCAACTCAGAGTAAGGATTTCTAACATATGAAAACTACAAATCATTCTCGTTTAATGAAAAGATTGGTCTTATCTTGATTGAATAAATAGACACCTTTACCTAAATGGGCAAGATATGTCGAGTGGTCTTTAGGTTTTCCATTATTGTTGTAAGTTAATTTGTTAATTAGAAACTCTCATCCAAAATCACTTGACATATATTTTACGAAAAAAAAAATCAATAGGATACTTTTTCAATCTATCCATCTTATCATTTTAAGAATCAAAAGAAAGAAATTTTATTTTTTCAAAATGAATTATCGTAAGTTTTCGTTTATTCTTACCTACATACATGTGAGAATTTTGAAAAAGATGATTGACTAAGGCGTTTCTTTTTCGTATTTTTTTTTTCAAAAAAATAAAGTGGGATTAATTCGAATAAATATTTCGGTTCATTGTAGTTTTGCTTTAGCAATCTATAGTATACGTTAGTTTGATTTCATGTAAAGATTTTTGATTTTTTTTTCTTGCGAAAACCGACGAACATTGACTTCATGAAATCATCAAAAGTTTCGATCATCAGTATAGCTTTGAGGGAGTTTGTTTTAGCCGGGTATGATGTTCATGGTTGGTTGGATGCGATTCTAGGCGCAAAGTCTTTACTCTTACTTAGTGCTTCATGGTAAGGCTTCTTTCAAAGAAAATCTATGAAGAGATCATAGGAAAAATCTGACTTGAATCACGTTTTGACGGAAAGGGGTAAGTGTTTAAAGGTTTTATACCTATCAGATCAGTTTACTGACAATTCGCTGTGGTTTCAGCTCACCTATGGATCTGCATTTGTCATTGTACACTGATGAGACTAATGTCTGTAGGAGTGCCATCGTGTCGATTACCATCAATAGTTTCATGTTCAATGAACACTACCTTTATAGTGATGCTTGTGTGGCCTATCCGTAAGGTTTCGCGTTGATTTCAGGTGAGGGTCAATAACTGATTGGTGGATCAATATCTTCTATGTAGTGCCTATCACTTGGTCTTTCTGTAAAGTCTCAAATGAACATCAATACCTTCAAAAATCTTTGAAACCTATCATCGATGACCTCATGATTTCAGCATCAAATTATTCTAGTATTGATTATACTCCAGTGAAGGTATTTACTATTCTGATCCCTGCACAGAAATATGTGAAGCACTTTGTGAGTCTTGTCTTGATACTATTTTTTGATGAAATTCAATGAGAAATGCCATTCTGGATCGTGATTTGAATAGATTTTTCGTCTCTAGGAACTTATTGCTTCTGATGTGAGAATAGGTATTACCTGTTACTTAACCTCTTGTATCATATTATGTTCAGTAAGTCAAATAGATCATCAAAGAGTCTGGTCAGTCACTGATAACGTTTTGTAAATTTAATTTGATTAGTTATACCCTCCTTTACTTTACTTATCAACCAAGCTCCTACTGGTCCTTCCTGATGCAGCAAAACCGACTCAAGGACAAGCAAGGACTGTAATCATGTCTTCTATTTTGACTTTTTTTGTATCAGCCTGTAATATTCCTCTTTTATCTTGGATGGTATGTGGATTTCATCCTCTCGGTTTAGAGAATGTACAATTCACTTTCCAACTGAGAAAACTTATTCCACACAACATAGTTGAGCTTCTCAGGGGATGCTTTCCTAATAGATTCGAGGTGGTGGACAGGTTTAAGACTTGTAAGTTTTATTTTCAACCAACTGATGTAGTATCCTCAAGATTATATGATTGATTTTTGGTGATATATTTATCACACTCACAGGGCTTAAATATCCCCTTCACCATTGCAGCGAATATGTGAGTGATATTCAAATTGATCAAGTAGTTTGTTTTCTGAACCATCTTTCTGTTTTAGAAATTTGTTTATGTATACCACTCTTCAACATTCCACCTTGATACCTTCAGCCCATCATACCAGAGATACTCATGATCAAATAAATACAGGATTGCCGCTCAAACATTTAACAGAAGAGCTTTGAAATGAAGATTTCTTTACCTCAATGTTGGTATGAATGAAATACATGGTTTTCTGCTGATTTTTTCAAAGTTTCAGAATGTTTTGTGATCTATATTTCTATACGCCTTCTATGAGTCACGTAAAAGCGATTCATCGATTTATGTCTTGTTTACCAAAACGGAATCGCTATCAACAGACGTCCATCTATCAACTTATCATTTGTAATTTATTTCAAATATAGAACATGGAACCTTCTAAATGAAAGTCAGTAAGAATAGCCTTACAAAAATGGACATGCAGTCAATGATAGGATTGTTGCCAAAGATCTTACAAGACTCAAATTTTGAGCCATCAATATGCTTGATGTTTGCGTAAGAATGAAGAGGTTAAACCTTTGAAAGACAAGTCTTTCCTCTTCCGATTCTCTCAATTGAGATACATGTTTACACTTGAAATACGAATGATAAAGATAAGCCTAAATATTAATCACCCCTCACCGTAGGCCAGGCGTCGTGGGTTGGGTATCTTGGTATATATATAATAAGTCCATCAATCCATCAATCAACCTAATGGTTGCCCAAATCGGTTGTTCAGAGTTTGCCTGTAAGAGCGATCGCGACTACGACAAACCAAGTCTTCTAATGTGTGATTCAATTCGAAATGATAGCCCGGACCCAACAAAGGCAAAATATCGTTATTAATTGACATGTTATAGGGATACACTTTGATGAGTGTGCTGTTATATAATGATGAAATCCAGTCTCTCACCAAACTTTTTCCGTGGCATTGAATGATGTTGATTTAAAGTTTCTATAGATGAAATCCACACTTGCAATCAGTATCATTCAAAAAGAGTCAAAAGAACCCTCAGATATCTTACTGCGATACGCTCAACGATTGACTCAAGAGATTTCCCAAGTTAATGGGTCTATCCCGTGGTTCTTTAGTCGGAGACTGTCTGTTGGCAGCTCGATATGACACCCATAAATTTCTGAGAAAACAGAATCCATTAGGTTTCTTCCTTGATATGGATTTCATAGAGCTGTAATGGAGTTTACTTGCATGTTTGCTACAATTGTATAAGGGATGGTTAGACCCTGATGCAAAAATTAAATTGTTTACATGGGTTCAGCATTATCATCATTGGACAATTTTTTACTTTCATGGTACTCACAAGTTCCATGCCTACCCACCACGTTGAGTCTGTCACAAAGGAGTCTCCCGGAAAATTCAACTACCGATTTTTGCAGACATTTTATGAGTTTTGCATTCTGACTTGCGGAACCCTACCAGCTTACCATCCAATATAAGAGAGGAATATTACAGGCTGAAACAAGGAATGTTAGGATGGAGATTTGGAATACTGGCACTGCATTCCTTTGAAGCTTCAATGACTTCTCCAAATGAGAGGGTAAGATCATGGTCTTGAGCGTGAAGAAGAGAAACGGTGGATAGGCCTTAAATTAAAAGCCATGTAATGAGTCAAGTGAATAGCAAAGTGATCAACTTCAACAGAACTCACCAAACATAACAATACGCAGGAGACGAGGTAACAGGTGAGTCCTCTTCGAACATGAATTGAAACTATCGCCTGGGGTGGAGAAATAAGGTTTGCGACGTCAAATAGGATTCGAGAGGCTCGCGTAATCTTCTCAGGATAAGTAGGTTGCGATTAATGACAAAGTCTCACTGACAATACGAGCAAGAGCTTTTTCTGCGGGAAGCAATAAAACTATGATCTTTGCGGGAGTGTAAGTCCGTTTGGAATAAGTGTGCGCCGATTGCAGAAGGGCCTTGGTGATTGGTTCCAGAATCTTTAGTATATAGACATGTTCGACTGAAACCATATAGAATGACCAGAATACGGGTGCTGAGTTTGATTTTTGAAGACCAAGAATGGATGAGTTCGTACATCTTTGATCAATAAACAGAAAACTTACCAAATGGCCACAAAAGAATCACTAAGAACAACCCGTTCAATGTCCATGAGACAACTGCAGGTAATGCAGTTGGATTTCCCGCAATTGGCTTGAGCCTGATCGATACAAGGAGGCAAACAAAACTCCACAAGTAGGCTGAGCCAGAGCCATACCTCATTGTCAGTTGATGGTAGTAAGACTTGACTCATCCGTCGTATCACACTGCAAAAACTCACCCCTTTGCAGGAAAATGGTGAGTGTCAGTTTACAGAATATTACACTCCTTTCGATATAGACAAATGCTTACCACGAGGCAACCAATAGAAACAGAGGTTTGGTACCAGAGATAACCTCTGAAGTACCATGGTCGTGCCACCCAGCTAGCGTAAATTCCTCAAAGACAATGCTTAACATACAAACTTGAAGATATTTTGGCGGAATTTGTAAGCATGTGTCTTTGAGTGATCATGGCCAGTGGGCTGTCTTAACTTACGCACGCTGTAAATCCCAAGCAATATACTACAATGGTTTGCGGTATCGATCTTGATCAAACCAACTTAATGAAAGCAACGCAAAAGAAACTGCACGTCAACTGATCTTACAGGTTGGAGCTCCTTTAGAAGACACACACGTACGAGAGTTCAAAGAGAAAAGGTAAAAGGACTTGGTTTTGATTCGGAACATAAGGAGATGGACCGATTGAATCAAGATCCTAGACATGAGGTAGGTGGAATGATTGAACAGGTCAACATCTAGTCCTCGACTGAGATAAAAGAGTTAGCATACATGATCAGTGGCAGTCCGAGGGACCACTTGACATATCGCGCCCATGCAGGTAGAGGAGGTATCTGTAGAGGTCGAATCACCGCAAATTCGATGCGAAGAGTTTGAACATGTGAGTGCTAAGATCAAGCTAAACAACGATATCGAGGGATGACATACCCTCAGTAGTTCGGTGATGAAGTGAGCAGTCGCCTTATATGCATTCTGATGCTTATCAATATGGGTAACAAAATTTAAAACCTTTGTTGTTTCAGATGTTGACATTGTGATTGAAAAACTATTAGAAAAACAATGAGAGAATGGAGGTAAGAAATGTATAGACAAACCGTATATTTATGGAGTGAAGAGCTTGGACAATTATCGTGGATTGTGATTTGTAACTAAATACTCACAATGCGGCAATGCTTTAATTTCGGTGAGAACAAGAAAAAGAATTCCTTTAATTTACGAGAGCCACTTAACTAAGAATAGTAGCTTATATGCAGTTTATGTGAAGTCTCAACAGGGATCATGTGTGTAGATGTCCCTTTTTGGGCGATGTCTCTGGGGCCTTCTGCCCAAGCAGCAAGTGCTGCTTATTGTTACCTGATCTCAGAGGCCCCAAGCCTGATCATTTGGAGGTAATCTAATTGAAATATTCAAACAGGGTCAAAGTTTGATCCCAAGGCCAAAAACTTTGAACTTGAGACGCCCTATGGTTTCTGGATCATTTGAACGTAGACTCCCTACATTTATTTCCTTCATCAATCAATTTGCATGACTGACGCAAATGATATATTTGTCCATTTCAAGGAGGTTTGGAGTAGTTTATTTCCATCATAGATGCTTGCGTATTATGCCTATCTGTACCATGCGGAACATGAATGATGAGCCACGTGTATTTTTCTCTTCTGCCAACATTTTCAAGAACTCAGAGCATCCCACATAAGGACTAAACAAAGATGTTTGGTTTTCCACCTGCTCTCTCTGGATTTCCATCAACACTTCAAGATTTATGCACCGGTGGATTTAGAAAGTCTAGGTTGGTTTGTGCTATACAAGGGGATCCAATGCGCTCCAACATATACCTAGAACACTTGTCTTTGTGCAACAAAGATTTTTTGACCATTTACAGACACAAAAAATCACAACACATGTTTGTTTTGTAAGATTATGGTCTACACTCACTCAGAATAGGATGGATGCACGAGAAGATTATAAAGAAATATACAAGCAAGAATACGAAGCCATCTCAACAAGTCTCTTCAGCATCAGAACTTGATCTTCAGATTTCGGAGAGTTGTCTGCAAAGAAAGATGTGACATGTCACACAAACTCTGTGGAGTCTGGGTGGACGTAAGCTTGATTCTTAAGTATCAAGGTCTGCAGTGCTAGGGTACTTGTACATACAGTATTTTACATACCACCTTCGCGAGTTGAAGGTGACGTAACTCAAGCTGTGAAGTCAACAGAGCAGAAGCATTCGATCGTACCCTGATCATCAACACTTCAATTCTACCGACCATAATCGCTTCTGGATAATCGTCCGTTCATATCTACTCAACCCATATTCAAAACCTCCCGCTAGTATGGCCGAAGGAACCACGCGTAAACAGGAGAAAGATTTTACCAAAGAGGTGGACGAGGTTGTAACAGCGGCGGAGTCTCTCGTACGAGTATGTGTCACCGAACATTTCATAACTATTCAGCTCTCCTATTGATCAGAATTCTTGCTTTCAGAGTGGAAACATACAGAATGCGGTTGACAAGCTTTTGGTCTTAGAGAAGCAAACCAGGAATGTAAGCTGGCCTCGATCATCGGTTCTGGATGCGGTCGTTGACTGATCGACATGGTCTCTTTCAGGCTTCTGACCTTGCTTCGACCACCCGACTTCTCGTCAAAATCGTCAGCATCTTCTTCGAAGCAGGAGATTTAGACTCCTTGGCACAACATGTTCAACAACTATCTCGTAAACATGGACAATTGAGGCAAGCTACAACCACCATGGTAGAAAAAGTCATGGAATTCCTCCCGAATGTCAATGAGACGTCGAAATGCAAGTTGCTCGAAGGATTGCGGGAGGTAACCGAAGGAAAGGTTGGTCAGGATCATACTGTATTTTCGACTATATGGCGTTAATGGGCAATTTTTGCGATAGATCTACTTGGAAGTACAACGGGCTCGACTTACTAGACAACTAGCTCAAATCAAAGAAGCAGCTGGAGAAGGTCGGATTGCAAATGAGTTGATGCAAGATTTGCAAGTCGAAACGTTTGGGTCAATGGATCGAAGAGAAAAGGTCGAGTTCATCCTTGAGCAAATGAGGCTGCTTCGTATACAACGAGACTGGGAGAAAATGGCTATCGTTAGCAAAAAGATCAACAACAAATGGCTAAGTGATCCAGATAATGAGGTACGAGTTATTGTTTCTTGACCACCTTTGCCCTCGCCTGATTTGAAAATTTTGGGACTTTCGGCTCGATTAGGATCTCAAGCTACAGTATTACGCACTTATGATTACCTACGCTTCCCAATCATCTCGTTATCTCGATCTTTGTAAATATTACCGAGCGATCCACGAGTCCTCCACCATCCAAGCCGATGTTGCCAAGTCATCCGCAGCTCTGAGGAACGCTGTTTACTTTGTCATCCTTGCACCTTACGATAACGAGCAAAGTGATCTATTGAACCGGATAGGTCGGTCTGAGGATGAATTGAAGCAGATTGAAGGAGTCTAGTACGTTTCTCTAGACGATCTTGTAGCTTGCCGATCCCGTCATTGACTAGTTTTTTCCCTTTCAGTGATCTCGTAAAATGCTTTACCACTCCTGAGCTAATGCGCTGGCCAGGTATTCAAGAGCTGTATGGACCGACCTTGAGGAAATCCAAAATCTTCGGTCCCAAGGGCACGGCAGGCGTTCCTGGGGACATTGAAGAAGACGTAGAGGCAGGCAGCGACCCAGGTGAAACTAGGTGGCAAGAGTTGCACAAGAGGGTGGTTGAACATGTAAGCTGTCCTTATAGCTTTTGCAAAGGTTCATGTAAATTGACATCACATCCAACAGAACATCCGCACGGTCTCAAAGTACTATACTCGCCTAACCCTTCTCAGACTCTCTGAACTCCTAGATCTATCTGTGCCAGAATCAGAGGAAACCTTGGCAAAGTTGGTGAGCTCTAAGACTGTAAGCGCGAAAATTGACCGGCCTCGTGGACTAGTACAATTCAATCTTGGAAATGAGTCATCAAGTCAAGGCGAAAACATCTTGAATGTTTGGAATAGTGATGTTGGGAAGCTATTGGGCCTTGTAGAGAAAACTGTACACCTTATACAAAAAGAATTTGCTTTACAAGGTATCAAATGAAACTTATTCACTCTTGATGTTCATTTCTTTCGGTGGGCTGCCGTGACCACCAGGGCATTTTCACTGGTCTACTTCCTATTTTCCTGCCAGCTCTTGCGCCTTGCAATGTGTTTTACAAATGATAATATATACTGCTCTACACGCAGTTGCTTGATAGCGTAGTCATAGGTGAATCCTTGAGATTTTCATACAGAGGAGCTGCCCATAAACAAAGTGAGTGCTATTAGTGATGATGCGTGTGGGTTTCTCACAAACTGGCACCCGTTCTTAGTTCGCAAAGCCCTCTATGGGCGGCCGCGGCCGCGCCCTTGCAGAAGGGCTTATGACTAATTGTGAATTCCTGGACTGAGCCTCACTGACAAACATCACTTTGCCCTGCAGGGAAAGTTGTTCATAATCATCTTCTACATGTGTATCTCTTGTTGTGGAGAGGGGAACCCCACTCCACCATGCTGTTATTGAGGTTTCAGGCCTTATGTCCCACTTGTAAAGGGGTGTACAGCGTGTATTCACACCATACACAATTTTTGAATCAACAATACAGGTGTGTTGTAAGAACTTTCACACCACTTTATTGGCCATATTATTCAGAGCGCATATCATATCAGGCTACAAGATCATGTAGAAAGTGGTTTTGAACAACTTGTCTGCAGAGTAAAGTAAGGGCTGCTTGCAAGGGAAGTGTAAAAATGCAAAAAAATATTCAAGGAGACTTAATCCTTGAAGTGCTCACATCAGGAATTCACAATTACAAGCTAAAACCTGGTCTGAGGGAAATCAATTAGGGGTTGGGTGAAAAACCAACCAACCAATTTCTGAGTCCATTGAGTTGTGATTCAATTTAATGCTCAGGAACACTCTTCAGCAATTGCTGACACAATATCAAAGCCAACAAAAACAACTGGTTGTTTGCTTTGCTTTGCAAAAAAATCACCAAAAGTAGACCAGCAAGAGGTGTTCTTGATCATTCCAAAGCCCAACCAATTCAAAAGCAAAAAGCAATTTTTGGCACTACAAGCCACACAAACAACATTTTTTCACCTTTCACAAATCTATGGCTTCAAATCTTCTATCAGAAACTTACCCAGGTACTACCAAGCCTCCCTCAGAGCGCAGCTCTCTTGAAATTTGAGAAAACTTCACTGGTATGTACCCACTAGATCTGCAAAAGCTGCACTTGTTTCAACTCTCTTCTACACACCACTTTCCAAAGTGGCAAAACTAGTTGACCAGTTTTTTGCCCAACCCCTATTGTTGGTCATCAGGATCTGTGCAATCTAATTCAGAGTGTCCAATACTTCTTGTGAAACAAAGAACTCAATAAATTTTGCAAAGGCTCAGTAGTCTGTTACACCACCGAACAATCACCACATGAAGCCCACATTGCCAAGAGCTCCTATAGTGAGTGACATGGCATCCACAAGAGGAGTTTTGTGTGACAGTGTTGAAGCCACTCAATACGTGAGATCAACAGGATGCTTCACGTGGGTATGATGTGGTGCTCACAGTGTAAGGATGTGTATCACAACCAGGTGAGCATCCCTTGGCCAACTGCTTCAAGGTCTTGACCTGGTCACCACGCAACTGTGACATGGTTTAGCTCACCACATGAGGCCAAAAATACTCCCATCCAATCCAATTTGGATTGGTCAGGAGCAAAATTGACTCAAAAACAACTCAAAAATGGACTACAAAGCACTTGTTTCATTGATCTCCCCCAACAAAGAATCAAAGATTGATTTAACTACCAATACAAATGAAGAAAGGCAGGATTTTGATGCAAATTCTGATGATATTGATGCTAAAACTAATGTAGGAATAGATGAAGAAGTGTCTGCTCAATCACTCTGTGATATAATTTTAAGAAAATTAACAATTACGAGCAAACACAATGCAGCATTGATCAATACAATATGAAATTGATCAAGATTCAAAGGTGTAGATGATTAAAAGTTTTGTGTAGTTGAATTGAAAAGAATTTTATAATCAAATTAAACATGTATGATTCAGATAGCAGAGTCAAGAGAGAATGATTTGGAAAAGATGAGGGGTTTGATGTTGGATGAGTAAAAGAAGTGTTTGGAAGTGGGAAATTGTCAAACAGGATCTCAAACATGATCAATTCATAATAAAGCTTTTGAAAGGATAAAAAAAATCAAACAATGTCATTCATGACGTCATATCACAGTGAACATTCTAGAACAATGATCATGTGACACTCATCACAATCACAATGCAGTCATCTTTAACCAAGTTGAAGACTTGTGCGGTGACAAGGTTGCAGAACTATGGATTTGACCGGGCTGTGAGGCTGTTGTCCTGTGAATTGAGCCAAGGTGGTGAGCATGAGGAGCTCCACCTGGCAAGAATTATAGCAAAGCCACATGATGACTAATACAGTGGTCATCATGTAGCTCTCTGCTGAGTGGATTTCACACTACCACCAAGTGAAATCCACTCAGCAACTCACCTTTGCCTGGCACCGGTCTTGCGCTCAAAAGTTTCTCTGTGGTGTACAGAAGATGACACAAAAGAAATGGTAGAATAGCTTCACAGTAGAGTTGATACATGAATAGTTAGCATGATATGTGAAAAGATGTGAAATCCAAAGTACATGTTTGTAAAGAAACTCACCAACTTTTACTCATCATGTCAACTCCAATCACAGGGGCCAAAATCAATGCTCACATACAGGTGAGCATTGTGCACTTTCCTGAATCCTCCAAAAAAGACTGATTTTCTTTCAGATTCCTTCAATGGATGATTTTGGTAGTGCTCAGGTGATCAGGCTGTTTTGCTCAAATTTTGCTGTGCATTTCTGGAGAATGCCCATTTCCGTCTTGGATGAGCATTCCTTGAGCTCAGTCTGTCAGCTGAGTACTCAGAATCAGTTCATGAGTCACTGAATACTCAAAACAGCTCTGAACCTTGTCCAAAATCCTGGATCAGCAGGCTCCAAGGCATGCCACTGAGGATCAGCTGAGGGGCTGAGATGAAGTGAGCAGATGGGCCAGCCCTCCCACAGGCTTCTTCACTAAGTAATGAAGCCTGAGGAAGGCCTCAGGTGCTATGCACAATGTTCTGAGTGAGTTGACTGCTGATAGAGCAGGCCTGCTTCTGTATGCCACACTTTCCACCAGAGTGTGGGAGGCCCCTCTATTGAGCTCTGCGGGCATTTAGAGCAGCCCACTCCAAAACACTAGTTCATCCCACAATTGTACCTTGCCTTGTATCAGAAATATGTGCAAGAACCCATGAACCCATTGGTACGGGTTATTGCAAAGAATCTTGGCACACCATACTGTATAAAATCCCATAGCTTTTGGGTTCCATACAGTGGAATTCTTGTATATGCATAGCAGTGGTTGGGCTAAATCTCTTGATTACATAAAAAAACACTTCTTATTGAACGGGAGCAGAAATCAAAATTAAGGAACATGCTACCCAAGGCAAAAAATAGCACTAGGCATTTTTTTCCAAATGGGAGGTGCTCAATGCAAGGCAAAAAAGGTTGAGGAAGCCAGGTTTATAATTCAAGGGTCTTGTGTAAAAAGAAGTAAAACTTTGGGAGCATGTATTGTAGCCTCAGGAGGAGAGTACAAGTATAGAGGAAAATAAAGTTGAATTTTTCTTCTAGAATTGGAGTCATTTATGTAGGACTTGTTAACAAATGTGTATAACAATGCTTGGTGGTTACTGTCTTTATGCTCATGTTCATCACTCCTATCACAAAGAGCATCAATCAGTGATTGAAGTCTTCAACAGTTGCTATGATGTAGTACCTCATGAAATGACAAAGCTGACAGCAGAATGAAAGGTCACTTTTGTTCTAAGTAGTGCTTATTGGTTTTTATGAAGACGGTGACATCTTTGTTGTCCAGGGGCCTAGCATCCTGATAGGGCGGGTCTAACCTCCCAGCACATAGAACGGTGTAACCGTCGGCAGTCGCGGGATCTAGACCTAGATCGCTATGAAGTGGGTGCTGGAACTGTAAAAATCAAGAGCAAAATGATAAAAGGCTGTGAGTTAGAACAAAACCTAATCATATGTTTCCAAACTAGGATGGAAATCAGACAAATTAGGACGAGTTATATACCTCGTTTTGAACCTCAGGACAACAGTCGACTGTAAAGCTGTTGAGGGTGTTCTTTAAAATGGTCGCAGTCAAGCTGAAAAAATTGGATCCAGCAAACAAAAATCAGCGACATATATTTCACGGACTATGATGATGACTTACTCTTTATACGGGACTGCCGGTGCCAGTTTCCCTTGGGCGTCTTTCCCAAAGTACAAGATCTGGGCGCAGTGTTCGAGAAAGTAATCAGATCGACCGCGACGATGAGTTGTTCACAAAATTGTCACTCACGCCGCAGGTTCCATACCCACTACTACTCCATCCATTTTGAATCATCAGCTGACCAGCGCTGAAACAATCCAGCAAAAATGAATAAGTCAGTAAAAGAAGACAGAAGGTATCGGACGAGAATTGGTTTAAGCTCTGAACCACTTACCGCTGACAATCATTCAAATCCTTTGGATAATCATCCGGGCAGTTGAAAAGATTGGTGTTCGGATCATTGTCAGTGACTGGGGTACATTTATCTTGGCCTGTCGATGTGTCGCGAGCCACGAGTCGGCTGAGTGGGCTATGGCCACAACTTGAGGCAGGATATAAGGATATCGTTGATAGAACTATAATCAAGAACTTCATCTTTGAACAGTAATCAATGTGTGCGCCGAGCAAAGCTATGTAATGGGGTCAAGAACTTGATTTAAGAAGATCGCGTGGTTGATAGAGTTTAAGCAAAGGAGAACAAGTTTAGGGACATACAACAGCTTCACTTTAAGCTGAAATCATCATTTCCCATCCATATTTTTCTCACGAATGGCGACATTGAGCATATGTGAGAGAAGAAACGCGATGGAAGTTGATAGAAGGGGAAACTTAGCAAACGTCCCACGCCCCGTGACGCGTCGATAGGATAAGATAGGATATGGCGACACTCTCAGAGGATGTCATCTGTGAGGTAAGTCAAATGAAATCTCAAACAGTCAAATCGGAACCATCAAATTTACTTTTCTTAGAGCATCTCCACCGGGCCGTGTAAAACAACCAATACAGGGTGTATCCACGTTGTGTGGGAAAAGATACGAGCCACCGCACCGCGTAAAGAGGCTGTATGGGTTACGCAACGTCCAAATCTTGGCCGGGATAGTATAAATTTGTTCGTTGCACAAACACCCAAACATCACCGCAAATGGAAGACCCGTACGACCTTTCTGTCACTTTGGTAAAGTTAGATCATACTATCTTTGGTTCACCGCACCGATATCACTCGATCGACTTCCTCTTCACACATCCTGGTGTTTCCCGATCACAATCAATCAACTTTCGACAACTTTTGATCCAGTTTGACTCTGTGTTAATGATTGTGCAAGGTAACCAATGCTTTGAAGGACTGATGCACATACCTCATGTGATCCAAAAGCATAGGATATGCTCTCTTTTGGGTGTGGATGCTCTTCAGTGCACGGGTATTCAGCTTTTTTGGCAAAACTTGTTCGATTTCGCCCAACCGATCACTCATTATACCTACCTCCACCTCATCAATGTCACTATTTGGTACATAGGTTTGTGTTTTCTGCTTTCCTCCTGTCTATAAAACATGAGGTTCAATTGTATTCGCCCTTCCTCACCTTCCTTTCATTCCTTCCATTCCATTCATATTTACCAAATTCTTATTGTCTCTGTCAATATCTTTAGCGCTTGATTCCTTCTACGACAAT